TAGGAAACTTTTTTGCTTCTCGGGAAGCAAATTTTGTTTCTGCAACAATGTTTCCACGGGTGGGCAAACATGGAAACATTTGAGGAAACATCGAGAATCACAAATGTTTCCACAACGTTTCTTAGTTTGCCCAGGGCTTAACCATCTTGCCATTACTAAATAAAGTCTGTGAATTAGGCTCGGAATTAGGATGTTCAATTTCGTTCGTGGTTCCGTTCATTGTTTTCTCAATAACGCATTTACAATAAACAAGCTAACCAGGATATTTCCTGTTTGTCGTGTTGAAAAATGACCGTGTGAATATATAACAAGTCAATCTCAGTTCCAAACTAGACGTAAACTAACTTTATTTATACTCGATACCTCTTGTGAGGGGCATCTCGTGCTAGTGGTCTAGGATTATTACAGAATGAAACCAGAGTCACAGAATAGAGACTATACAGAACCCCGACTTCTTGGATTTTCCTATGATTTTGGCGTAACCGTAATTCGTCATCAAAATCCTGAGGCCATGGTCCTAGCCAGTGCGCTTATGAGAGGCATTTACCCCCCTGATAATATTCAAAATGACAGACGTCCAGGGGGAATGCCTCTCGACCTTGTGTGTCTCTTTATTCTGTGCCTCTAGTAAGGGGCATCTCTTATTAGTGGTCCAGTATATTATTAGTATTACTACAGAATGAGACCACAGTACCAGGAGAAAACCTATGGTGTTCGGTCACAGAATAGATACACAACCAGAAGTGTCACTCAGACGATAATTTGTCCGAAATTTTACGAGTGCTGACGTGAAAATACGCCATCATATGACGCCATCCTGGAGTGCACACGGAAGTTTTTCATAGGAAAACATAGGTACAAAGTGCCGTGTGCACTCCAGGATGGCGTCATTGCACGTAAAAAAAATTTCGGACGTTTTCCTTCAGTCAAAACACATAGAAGTGTCCCTTCTGGTCCGGTATCTATTCTGTGGTTCGGTAGAGTCAAACTGTAAGCACTCTTCTCACATGCAACCGAGGTGAAATTATAATCAGAGAACTGCATATTCCAGGAATCAAACCTCAGTCACAGAGTCAAAGATATTCAGATATTGAACTTTTCTATGAAATGTGAAAACTTGTTAGCTTGTAAGGGACGGACCATTAGAAAAGTGATGTGGGGGATGGGACTATTTCAACTTGTACGAATATTTTTTTAAATTTTTTGCTTGTGTCGATAATTTTTTTAAATATAATCCCTTGAACGAATTTTTTTTATTTCAACTTATAATTTTCCCTATTGAAAAGTCTCTGCACGAATATTTTTATTTCAACTTATAATTTTCCCAATTGAAAAGTCTCTGCACGAATATTTTTAATTCAACTTATAATTTTCCCAATTGAAAAGTCTCAATACGCACGAATTTTTTTCAAACTTTTTTGCTTCACGAATTTTTTTCTTTCTGTTTCCCCTGCGAGATTTTTATTCCCATCATCAGTTTTCTAATGGTCCGCCCCTAAACTTGTTATTCTTGTAGAGTCGTTATTCTCTGAAGGTGGCCCGATGTTCTTAATCTGTCGGCATAAACAATTTGAAGTGTTTGTAGAATCTCAAATCTCCAACTTGGTCGTTGTGGAATTTATAAACGTTATTTAGACATATCACTATAATAAGATTAAGTTCTTAGCCGGTGTAATAGTTGCATTCCATTAAATTGCCCCACACAATTGTGATATTACTGGCTAAATTGCAGAATACCTGTTCACTTTTGAAGGTATCACTTGTTATCATGCTTACATCACTACAGTTTAGATAAAAAAAACAGTTTAGATAAAAACATTTGCTTGCCAACCTGAGAATGTTTAATAACTTACTAAACTTTGTGCATGGTTAAAAAAAATTGTAAATAATTTGTGATAATCTATAATCCCCAGCATTAGGAAACACTTGACTCGTGAACTGAAGACTGGCGGCATGTGAAAGAATAAGAAGACTCTCACGTCGCATTGTCTTTCAGAAATCAGAACCTGATAACATCTTATCTGCCGAATTTTCTCCAAGTATATATATATACCTAGAAAACCTTCCCACCACCCAGACAATACAGCTTCGTGCAATTATATACAGAAGATTAAAAGAATAAACAGCCCAAAGGCAACTAGAAACTTTCAGTTATACTGTTTGCAAGGTATGATTTTATTCCAATGTATAGCGAATATATATGCATGGTTGAATTATATTAAAGACTTTAGATAACTCACACGCCTAGTTATACCACTGTTCTGATAATTGTAAGCATAGAATGAAACAAGAGTAATTTAAATGACATATGTCATATGTGAGTGAATATATCTCGGGACTGCGACACTGCATTGATCTATAGGAATATATGTTTAATGATACATGATTTTGTCGCCCGTGCAAACTATAGGCACCAACTGGGCGTTCTGTGGGAGCGTTTCTTTAGTGCAATCCAGATGTGGATCTTCAAATCCGATTTTCAGTTTCACTTCAACAAAATTTTAAAATAGATTCGAATCTGATGAATCCACCTCAACATATGGATTTTTCGGATTCAATCTGAAACTTGATTAGGATTCAACGTTCCTTTTGAGCTTTTGGCCTTCTAGCATGTACCTTGACCCGACCGAAAGGTATAGTGGGACAGAAAACTTATTGTAAAAATGGCGGGAAAACGGCAGGCGAATTCCGATTCTCACAATTCGTTCCACTTGTTTAACGAATCCAAAAAGTCCGAATCCTAAAAATTCAAATCTAGATTATCAAAAGAAACGCTCCTTGTATATTATACCTGTACTTCATTAATAATTCATGAGGAAAACTGGAAAAGACAAAGGCAGACATTCCAACTACTGGAGGTAAAATTTAGGGAGACTGTTGAATGAATTGAAATCTAGTTCTTCTGGGAAAAAGAATAAAAATTAAGTCTTCTGAAATGGCGTTTCCATGTTTATTTTTAAAATTACTTCGCCAATGAGCTCATAAGATGGGTCTTTTTAAGCCATTTAGAACACTCACAGTCCTTGCTTTATGAGATATAAAACTCTCGGCGGTCGCCTCCAGGATTTTTTTCCAGGATTTTCTCTTGGGTCCGTTTTTGCAGAGAAGATTGAGTTTAGCTGAACAACTGGAGTGGCTGCACATGGGAGGGCTGACCCTGTACTCAATAAATGTAGTTGAGACGCAATGTGTTATTAAAAGTAGGCCGCACTAAAGCCTAGTTTCCATTTGGTCGTTAGTTGTCGCTGGCACGACATGTGGCAGATGTAATAGAGTGTCAACAAAAAACTCTGCAATCATCAAGACTGATTTGCATATCACACAAAAAGACTATTATTATAGCAGACTATTTCACATCTACCGCTTGTCGTGCCAGCGACAACTAACGACCAAATGGAAACTAGGCTTAAGGGACACTATAAACTGGTTAAAGATGGCGAATGCATAGTTTTTCTTGTGTTGTGAGATGAATTCCAGCCATTTTTTCCTGATTGTCGGGTTTCCAACTGAAAACTAATTTCCACACGTCACGAATTTAACTCAAACAACTTCATTTTTACTGCAATGAAACTTTGGTGAGAAGATTTGAGTTTCAAAACTCAATTTAAGATTGAGTTTTTGGGGCCGTTTTACGGCCCTAAAAAATCCCTGAAAAAAAACCCTGGCCTCGTGTTTTATATCTGATAAGAGCACTCATGCTCGTTTTTTAAACTCAGTACTAGAAACGCTGAACATTTACATATAGACGAAACCCCACTGATTCATCTATATTTGATGAACTTTATCAGCATTCTCTATATAGCCACACTGATACGATTGCTGGAGATTTGATCAGGTCATACTTTTTACTGTGAGGGTAAGTTTGATTGTAATTATCTGTCCGATGTTCATATGATAATATAGTGCAGACATAGTATTAATATAATCATAGGATACTTATTTTGAATATCTATAAATCATAAAATGCCTATCTTTTCACTTATCAGTTTGATAACGAATGTATGTCTATATTTAAATCAAAGACAACGCTCATGTTTAACAATTCTTGATAAGGAAACAAATTAACAGTACAACGGTACAAGTACATTGTGTTTTTTTTAATTGATGCCTGCACGCCGCGTGAATTAGAGTTGCAGGACAAGTCAGGGCTTGAAATAACGTTCCTAAAGTTCCCGATCATGGTGATCGGCAGTCATGACTTTCCCTGCATTTTCAGTTGGAAACCCTGCTTTTCCGCCGATCATAAGCAATTTCTTGCCGATCATTGATCGGATGCTATTTCAAGCTCTGCAAGAACAGATTGCATTTAAGGATAAATCGTAATTTTTGCTCTAACTGCACCTGTTGTTGGCATATAGTTTTTCTTTCTGCTTTGTTTCTTTGTCACCTTGTGCCTCTCACCAAAATACTGCAATGTTCTTTTGATAGCTGACTGTCTAGTTTCATTTATAGTTGAATACTACAGTACAGTATAGCCTGTGCTGTATTTTTCAGATCAAAACTATTTCAAATATAATATCATATACCGGTATATATATATATATAATGGAAAATAACATAAATCAAGATTTGTCATTTTCGTTGTCAAAGTGAAACTACATACGTAGACGTGTAGTACATTGAAATATGATTTGAAAGATTATATCATGTACCTTGATGAACCAGAGGAAACAACTTCATGAATAGAAAATAGTCAATTGGATATAAGTAAATTTAGTTTCATCATCTTCCAGTTAAACGAAATTACAAGCAGAATGAACAAAACTAAACGATGAAACAAGAAACTTAACACCTGCAATACTCTAACGGTTTGACATAAAACGTCTATCAAATAACAAACATAATGTTGCCATAAATACTTTTTAAAAAATATCAATCATCATTCATTCATGCAACATTGACCATGAATATTACAAATAGTGTTTTTTACAGAAAATTTATTCTTGATGGAAAATTTAGTCTCATGCACAAACATGGAGAACAATTTTCTCAACACGATTTTAACCTAATTTCCAAAATAAATTTTTTTAAAGCTTCCATAATGGAAGCTTTAAAAGAATTTATTTTGGAAATTAGGTTAAAATCGTGTTGAGAAAATTGTTCTCCATGTTTGTGCATGAGACTAATTTTTTCCATTAAAATATTGTCTAAAACAATAGATTGCGTTTTGTGGACCTTTGAGTTCGACTACGTTTATAAAATTGATGATGGCTTACAGAGAATCTATACGCATGTGCAATGTGGTCGTAATTAAGACTTCGAACTTTAAATTTAATGTTAAAAATGTTCATTATCGTCACCCCAGGATTAACGGGGAAATATATCGTAAAGAACAGCAGGACAAAACATATGGAAGATTAATAAACCCATCTTGCACCCACTCAGAGCCTGAAATAACGGTCGAATATTCGATGTTTTCCAATTAGTTTCCTTGAAATGCATGGGTTAACCACGGACAGCGTCTGGTCGTTTGGCAAAGAATACAAAATTGTCAAATTCAAAAAAACTTTCACTATGTACTGTATGGTGCAAAATATTTACTACTGACGTGAAAATGCCCCACCAAATTTGAAAGTTTCCGATCAAATTTCAAGTTGGGATAGTTTTTCCGAGTAATTTTTAGTCGTTATTTTAGGATTTGGCCTTTACTATACCGCGGAATAAAATTAACTCTCAAGTGAGTCAAGAGGAACGATCAAGTAGTTTTCTATATATAATCTTCGTGAGCACACAAGTCACTAGCCCTAACAAACGTCTAAATTCCTAATAAAAATCACACAATCAGTCAATCTAACGCGAATATTGGCTCTAATATAAAACCAACCAGTCTCTATCTTAAAAAAAGAAGAAATAGATAACGATACATTATGTATGCAATCCGAGGCTGCCGAAATTAAAATACGTCAAAACCAATGCTAAACATTCATTCATTTCTGCGGATTATTAAAGCAAAAACTTGATTAAAAGCATTTTTGTCGTGATGTTTCATCAGCTCTGACGTACATGTCGTATTTGCCTATTAAATGCTTGGTTAGGTTTATATACAGAAATCCAGAAACTCCCATACATATATCGACTAATATTTAACATTATTTTCAAGTAATGATATACAGCACAAGCCGCGTTCGCAAAGCAAATCATGCATGCATGTATTTATTCATACAGATAACGGACACGATATATAAGAGAGGAAAGGCGATGCATTTTTAATAATTCGTCTACACAATCTAAGCAAACAGTTAAAAAATTCAAGTGGACCAGGGCTGCATTGAAATTGCTCAATTGGCTGCAATCACTTTATTGGCTACGGGATTGAAGAAATTTTATAAGGAGCAGTGAATTACTCTTGTGTACTGTAAGTATTAAATTTTTAAACTCGCTGTTTTGTAGGCGCCGTTTTTTGCCCTCACACGCTTGAAAGCGGACTGTGTTGATGCCAGCGTATACGAGTGAAGCGTTTAGACAAAATGAAATGACAAATTTGCGTTCGTTTCGGAATCCATCTTGCGTGTCTTAGTGTACTGTTATCATGAGAACTCATCAATTCGATGCAATATATTTTCCGGAAAATGCTAAAATTGCTCTGTTATGACAAACAGCAGGATACAATATATATATAGTACATATACTAGAATTATATTCTCAAATATCTAATCAGGATGGGGGTGTTTGGACGGAGGCAAAGCTATTTCAGATGATCGACTGAGTTGCTCGACACCGTGAAAGCTGAACTGAAATTTCTGCTTGACCCCGGTAGAAGGTCGTAGGTTCCGCACCGATTCTCACTGCGCTCAAGCAAGTTTTTCTACCGATGATGTGGAGCAACTCATTGAGTGCACTGTAAATTTCAAAAAGTTGAACGAACTCCAAAGTGTTACGCCTGTTTCCCAAAAGCTCACTCACACTCAATAAGAGTGGAGGTTCAATCTGAGCTTCCCTTGAGTGTCAATGCTGTTTTTGAATAGCTGGAGGGCAAGTGTCGTACCTTACTATGTGACTACTCACTCTTCAGCTATTCAAAAGCAGCAATGACACTCAAGAGAAGCTCAGATTGAACCTCCACTCTTTTAGTGCGAGCTTTTACAATACAGGCATTACTATATATCGTAACTTATAACTATGTGACTATACACAAACCCTCCAGCTATTCAAAAACATCATTGACACTCAAGGGAAGCTCAGATTGTACCCTCCACTCTTACCTTATTATATGTCTATGTGATATTCTAACCCTCCAGATGTTCAAAAACAGCATTGACACTCAAGCAAAGCTCAGATTGAACCTCCACTCTTTAAGTGTGAGTTTGCTTTTAGAATACAGGCGTTATTTTCTCAGCTTTTTTGGTGACCGAATTTTGGAGTTGACAAAATAACATTTGTAATTTACAGTGTAGCATCTTAAATTTTTTCAAATATTTTAGGAAATTGATTAGGACAAATCTCTGCGATACAATTGTTTTGTCATGTATATACTAAAAGGATTATATGAAAGTATGATCCAGCTATAAATGGAAAGGACTTCAAGTTTTTTCTCATGGGCTATACACAGAGAAGCAGAACGTCCTTCAACACATGCATGAAAAAAATTCTTTATTTTGACCAATAAATGTGGAAATAAGCCTGCTTATTTCCATATTTATTGATCAAAATCCAAACTTTTTTTCGCGCATGAGTGTTGAAGAAGAATGTTCTGCTTCTCTGTGCATAGCCCACGAGAAAAAACTTGAAATCCTTTCTATTTAAGGTGGTCCTGAGTCGAAAACAGTGTAGTTGCGACGTAATTATCGAAAGGGTGTATTGAAACATATTTCTACGTCGTAGACGACGAAAGCTAAGACACCTTTTTAAAATTTTTTAAATTTTTTATATTAAAATTTGCCGCCTAGGTTAGACTTTACTTTCAACAGTAGCTTTTGACCTCACTTGAACACAACGGGCCTTTAGAAGATTGCAATATATAGTGAAATTAATTCAACAGAAGCTTAATATTGATTGAGTGCAGTCCAGAACTTATTAAAATTTAGAACGGTGCGGGTATGTCAGCGATAAGTGTCTCACTGTGTCTCTGATATTTTTTTGCTTTATCATGAAAAATATAGCACCACCCCCTGCACTCCCTCTGGCCAGGGCAAGGGGGGAGGGCGCCTCCCCCCCCAACCCCAGTAAAACCATTATCCACCCCTGACTCAATATAAAGATCCCAAGTCATCCATATATACGGTGATTTATTCCGGCTATTATTTAGAGTATCATCGTGAATTAAAAAAAATAATAATAAAACTATATAAGGATTTTCAATATTCATCCAATTTATTTCTGACGAGCGCAGCTGACATCAGGACATGTGCGTCAAATAGATATGAATTATTTACACCAAGCAAAAAAATTAATCAAGTTTCAGATAAATCAATGCAAAACGTTTGCCTTGCTCGCAATAAGTAAATACATAGACTGACAAACGCCATTGTCAAGGAATGGAAAAGACATCTCTAATATATTAAAGTGTAAACTTTGTCTGATATTTACTGCATGGGCGTTACTGGGGGGGGGGGGGGGTTGGG